AGAGTGCAGTGAGACTAGGCTGCAGGAGAGAAGGGAACATGTGAGCTGGAGATTTAGGGCCAAAGCAAAGGTAGAGGCAAGGCCAACCCAAATGTGAGAGGTAGACAGACTCCTGCCTGCCCCACTGGCCCAGCAGAGGCTCCTGGCTGCCATGTCAGGAGTCACCTAGAAGGTCCCAGAGTTTTACCACAGCCATTTTCCCCATCCCAGTCTCATTGCCGTCTCAAGTGCTGCCAGCCCTGGCACCCTTGGCTCCCATGAAGGAGACTTGCTAGGACTGACGGCAGTGATGACAGAACTCAAGTAGGCAGACTTTGGGTCTTATCAGCATGGGAGGCAAGAGTGATGGGAGTTCTGGAGGGATTTTGACTAAGGGTGCCGAAGAGGAGGTGGGAAAGTCTCAGCTAGGCATGGGATCCTGGCCCATGTGTTGTTGCCTGCTCTGTCTCTCCATCTATAGCACAGGACAGTGATTGGCTGTGTTTAGTTAACCAGGGAATCAGGAAAAAAGATTAGAGTTCATCTGAGATAGCACCTCCCACTCATAAATCTTCAAAAATCACACATAAATATCCATAAGATAACCAGAAGGCCATGCTTTACATGCCTATGAGAGGCACACATTTGGATCTGCCTAAAACCAAATAAAACATGGTAGTGCATCCCTAGGAGAGATCAGAGTTAAATTCTCTGTTTAATTCTCAGAGTTAATTTCTTATTTTGTGTCATTGGTTATTCTTACTATTATGAATACTTCTCTCCTATGCCAAAGGTAGAGGGGCTTAAAGAGCCAAGCAGTTAGAAGAGCAGTGTGTCATGTCACTTTGGATGTGCTGACAACCATTTATAGCAGTGTTTTTCAGCGTGTGGTTTGAGATCTGCTGTGTTAGAATAATGGGGTGTGGTAGTATGGTTTATAAAAATGTAGATTCCTGAGCCCCACCCAGGTCTATTTTCTACTCTCTTGTGCTGAGGCCCAGGAAGCCCCACTTTAGTCCCTGAGTGATTCTTATGCACACTGAAGTTTACGAACCACTGTCAGAGGCTCACGTACTAGGAGTAAGAAAACTTACGATACCACAAAGCCATGAGATCCCATCCTTACTGACTCTGAATGATATACAAGGGAACATTTAACTTAAGATTTTGACAGCACTAAATAGAACACAGGGGGCTTATGTTGGAAACCAGAAAAGTCATTAAAAAATGACCTTGTCTAATAGATTAAATGCAATAGAGTGAAGCCAAGTGACTTACAGCAAGTTTGGTCTGTTTAGGCACTGCAGAAAATCTCGAGATGAGTCATGCATAAACACTGATGATGCCTTTCATCCTAAGTTTTGCCTAGTTCCAGCCAAAATAAAATAAATAAGAGAAAACTGAATGAGGGGGGGGTGGGGGTTGGCTCGTTTGCTGCCTACCATTCCACACCCACCTCCCAGTCCCCAACCACTAGAGGTACTCCTCAGAGCTGCTCTTGGTGCTTCTGCTCACAATCCTCGCTCTTCAAGGAATGGAAATGGTTAGAAGCCAGAGAGAAAGAAAGAGGCTGGGAACAGATGAAAAAGTCTGGGAGGGAAGAATGAATATGCAAAGAAAAACCTCAAGATGTTCAGAAGAGGAGCTCTGAAGGAGAAGACACAGATACTGGGAACAATGAAAGGAAGACATAAAAATGAAGAAGGTATGAAAGAAACAAACATAGAAAAGAAAGTAGAGGGATTCATAGTATGAGTTGTAGAGCCAAACAGACCCAGGGTCAAACCATCAAGAAGACAATAAATCCTAAATGTTTCTGGACCAAAAAATAGAACTGCAAAATACGCAAAGCAAAAACTGATAGAAGTGAAAGGAAAAATGAACGAACCTCTAAGATTGGGAAACAAACAAAAAATTTAAGAAAACAAGACGTTCTTATCACTCCTATTCAAAATAGTGCTAGAAGTTCTCACCAGTGCAGTAAGGAAACATAAATAAAATGGCATGCAGATTAAAAAGGAAGAAGTTATTTACAGGTGACAAAATTGTCTACCTAGAAAAATCCCAAGGAATCTACAAAGCAAAAACCTCTTAGAACTAATAAGTGAATTTAGCATTAACATTAACAAATTAATTGTATATCTATATACTTGCAATAAACACATGGACATGAAAATTAAAAATACAATACCATTTACAGTAGCTGAAATAATTTAACTGATTAGATATAAATCTAACAAAACTTGTGCAAGACTTGTAGGCTGAAAACTATGCAATGTTGATGAAAGAAACCAAAGAAGATCAAATAAATGGAGAGGCATACCATATTCATGAATTGGAAGACTCAACATAGTAAATATGTCACTCTTCCCAACTTGATACACAAGTTGATTAAATTGATTTAATGCAATTCCTACCAAAATTCTAGTAAGATTTTTTTGTATGTATAAACAAGATTATTCTGAAGTTTATACAAAAATGCTGAAGGACTAGTATAGTTAAAGCAATTTAGGAAAAAAAAAGAATAAAGTGAAAAGAGATAGTCTACCTGCTTTCAGATATACTTGATCCTAGCTACTGCAATCAAGACTATGTGGTGTTGGCAGAGGAACAGACATATAGAGCAATGGAACAGAATCGAGATACCACAAATAGACCCACATGAATATGCCAACCGATTTTTGACAAAGGAACAAAAGCAATTGAATGGATGAAAGACAGGCTTTTCACCAAAAAGTGTCAGAACAGTTGGACATCTATTGGCAAAAAAAGAAAAAGGAACCTCAACCTATTTTAAATTTGACTCAAAGTGAATCATGAACTTAAATGTAAAATGAAAAGCCATAAGACTTTTAGGAAAAAAATAGTAGAATTCAGGATCTGAGGCTAGACAAAGAGTTCTTGGACTTAATATCAAAAGCACAATCCCTGAATGAAAAAAGTGATCAACTGGACTTCATCAAAATTGAAAATTTTTGTTCTGTGAAAGATCCTATTAAGAAGATGAAATGATTAGGATATTGAATGTTCTCAACACAAGAAAGTGATAAATATTTGAAATGATAGGCATGCTAATTACCCTGCTCACTATACATTACATGAATAAAAAACATCACTGTGTACCCTATGGATATGTACAATTATTATTTGTCAAATAGAAAAAGAAGATGAAATGACATACATATAGAGTAAAAAAAATACTTGTAAACCATATATCTGAAAAAGAACTGATATTAAAAAAACTCTCAAAATTCAACAACGAAAAAGCAATCCAGTTGAAAAATGAGCAAAAGATGTGAACAGGCATTTCATAGAAGAGAACATACATACAACAAATAAGCACATTTAAAAATGCTCAACATTATTAGCCATTAGGAAAATGCAAATTAAAACCACAATGAGATAGCACTACATACCTGTCAGAATGACTAAAACGAAAAATGGTTATGCTACCAAGTCCTGACAAAGACGTGGAAAAACTGGATTATTCATACCTTGCTCGTGGGAAGGTAAAATAATACAGCTACTCTGAAAAACAGTTTGGCAGCTTCATTTAAAAACTAAACATGTAACTACCACACAACCCAGTAATTGTACTATTAGACATTTATCTCAGAGAAATTAAGACTAATATTTAACTCAAAAACCTATACACAAAAGTTTATAGCAGCTCTCTTCATACTAGCCAATAACTGAGAACGACACACATATCCTTTAACGAGTGAACGATTGAACAAACTGTGGTACATTCATACCATACATTGCACTCAGCAATAAAAAAGAAAAACAGCGTATTGATACATGCAACAACCTAGACAAATCTCTACATAATTATGCTGAGTGAAAAAAGTCAGTCTCAAAAGGTTACATACTATGTAATTCCATTTACACAACATTCTTGAAATGACAAAATTATAGGAATGGAGAACAAATTAGTGGTTGGGGATGGGGACACGAAGCAGTGGGTGTGACCGTGAAGGGCAACAGAGGGATCCTTGTGGTGATGGAAATGTTCTGTATCTTAACTGTATCAATGTCAGTACCCAATTTGTGACATCGTACCTCCGTTTTGCAAGATGTTACTGTTGAGGGAAACTGGATAAAATGTACAAGATATCTGTATTATTTCTCACAACTACTCCATGTTAATCTACAATTATCTGTTTTTTAAAGTTTAACTAAAAAAAGTAGTATGAGTATTTCATGATCTGTCTGGTAGCATCTCCATTCTGTTTCTGTTTCAAGTCCCTATTCAAACAGATGGCAAGAATTAGGTCTCAGTCCTGAAGTAAGCAAGTATTCCCTACTTGCTCACTCTGCGTTTCAGGAAGCTTAACATAATGCCAATCTTGTGCTTGGTGTCATCATCTATGCTGGTGTCTACCCAGAGAAGTTTTCAGCTACCTGTCCATCTAGGACACTGCTGCATCCCCCTGGCCTTTGAAGTCAAACCCCTGACCCCTGATACTCTACAAGTCTTAGTGTGCTTCAGGGAACCTTGAGAAGATATCTCAGGTCTATTCACTCAATGGGCATTCCTACTTCACAAGCCCAGGAGTGGGGGAATTGAGGGCAATGCTTGGATATTGAGGACATAGGCCCCCTTTTTTCTTAGGTCCTCTTGTGTTCCCACTCTACCCCAGGTACATTTGGCAGCTAGAGAAAGGCTCAGGGTCCCTTGTCAGGCACCCATGCTTCCTTCCTGATTCTTCTTTCTCCTGATCCAGGTTTTATCTACTCTGAGGGCAGAAACTGGTATGTGACAGTGGATATACTCTTCCAAATTTTCTCTCTTAGGTCTGCTCCTCAGATTTTCCCTCCTTGATTCTCAGCATTCTTCTGAATCATCCTTCTCCTGAAGGGACAACAGTATATTTCCTCTGCTGCTGCTCGACTTGGTCACATAGTAACAGAAAGTATAGAGGAAAACCCTTCTGTTGATACATGAGGATAGTAATTCGGTAATATTTTGTACCATCTTTCTGCCCTTAGCATGCTCATCTTTCCATTTGTTTCTTCAGCTTGTGGCCCAGGTCCTTGAACATAAAGCTATAGGCTTTGTGATGGTGGATGCCAAGAAAGAAGCCAAGCTTGCCAAGAAACTGGGTAAGTGTGATTTTTGAGATACTGTATGTGGGAAAGAAAGGAATGTGTCTTGCAAAAGGAAAAGTCCAGTTGCAATTATTCTTGCATAAGCAGACTCTCTTTTAAAATATATAAAATGATCCTGCATACCTTCATCTTTGGTTGGAGAAGGGTTTCATAAAAGTAAATATAGGCCTGAATTGAATAATTTCACATTAATCATGTAAGAGATTGTTGTATTAGTACAATGAGGAGGGTTTCTTCCTGGAGAAACTAATGCTAAAGAGTTAAGTTTTTATTTTTAGATTCTAAAGCAAGCTAAAAGGCCAGCTTCTCTTAGCTCACCACTGTGGTGATCTCTCTGAGAGAGTTAAACATTCTCTTCTTTCATCACATATTATTTCGTTGCCTTGCAGCTGAAGCAGCCAACAAAAGATAGCATTAATAGTAATAATGCCAGGGTAACAGTGCTTTTTAAATTTAAGGCTAAACCCCAGCTGGGCATTATCACCAAGGATGAGAGGGAGGACATAGGTGAGGTACAGTTAAGTGACCGCACAATGGAAGTTGTACTCTCTAGTGTCGATATGTCAGGCTTAAGTACAGTGCACTTTAAGATTCACAATGCTGTAATCCCAAAGAGAGAGAATATAGATAGCTCCTCTGGTTTTCTTTTTCTTTCTTTTTTTTCTTTCCTTTTCTTTTCTTTTTTTTTGAGACATGGTCTCACTCTGTCACCCAGGTTGGAGTGCAGTGGTATGATCTCGGCTCACTGCAACCTCTGCCTCCTGGATTCAAGTGATTCTTGTGCCTCAGCCTCTTGAGTAGCTGAGATTACAGTCACACGCCACCACGCTCAGTTCATTTTTTTGTATTTTTAGAAGAGACAGGGTTTCACCATATTGCCCAGGCTGGTGTTGAACTCCTGACCTTGAATGATCTGCCCGCCTTGGCCTCCCAAAATGTTGGGATTACAGGGGTGAGCCACAGCTCCTGGCCTGCTCCTCTGATTTTCAAACACCGACACACATGTACTGCCCATTTGGCTTTTTCTCCATGACCAGTGAAGAATGGCTATTAAAAAAAATAGCGGGTTATAAAACAGGATCTTTGAAGAAAGGTTAATTGGATTTGGAGTGGTAAGTACAGAAAAAAAAGAGATTAGTGGTGGTTCAATAAATACCTTCAGGTACATAAAAGTCCATTATCCTGGAAAATTACAGACAACTGTTTTCTATTTTATTTTCAAGCAGACCAGTCTTTTTTAAAAAAATGATTTAAATTATAGGAAACTATTTAGGTTAGACACAAGGAAGAATTCATGACTATAAAATTATGATGAGTTATTAAGAATGTCTGGGCACTTGAGGAGGCCAAGGGCAGAGGATTGTTTGAGCCGAGGACTTTGAGAACAGCTTGGGCAACATAGCGAAACCTCATCTCTATAAAAAATTTAAAAATTAGCTGGGCATGTTGGCATGTGCCTGTAGTGCCAGCTACTTGGGAGGGCTGGGATGAGAGGATGGCTTGAGCCAGGGAGGTCAAGATTGTTGTGACTTCTACCTGCATGATTGCACCACTGCACTCCAGCCTGGGCAACAAGGTGAGATTCTGTCTCAAAATAAATGAATGAATGAGTAAATAAATAAATAAAAATAAAGAATGCCTGGGATATCTGTTTCCCTGGAGACATATTAAGGGATATTTTTCTCCCTTGAGTATGGGAGCAAAATATGTTAAACTCTTTCCCTGGAGTCAAAGACAGTTTAATGGCTGGGCGCGGTGGCTCACACCTATAATTCCAGCACTTTGGGAGGCTGAGGCAGGCGAATCACAAGGTCAGGATATCGAGACCATCCTGGGTAACACAGTGAAACCCCATCCCTACTAAAAATACAAAAAAAATAGCTGGGCGTGGTGGCGGGCGCCTGTAGTCCCAGCTACTCGGGGCGCTGAGGCGGGAGAATGGCGTGAACCCGGGAGGCAGAGCTTGCAGTGAGCTGAGATCGCGTCACCACACTCTAGCCTGGACGACAGAGCAAGACTCCGTCTGAAAACAAACAAACAAACAAACAACAACAGTTTAATGAGTTCTGCCTCCTTCCCCAGCAGTCTCTTGATTCCTCTTCTGCCTTCCCATTGGTTTAATGAGAAGCTGAATTTGGGAGAATTTCCAGCAAATTTATTGAGAGAAAAAAACTAGTGTCCCAGTGATCTAAAAATTTTGGATGGACAAGCTGAGCAAGTATACATAAAAATAGACTAGGAAAGAATATGATGGGGCTTGATACACTGAAACAAGCTCAGTTTGGAAGAGTTGGGGCAGGTTCTTTCTGGTTATTTGATCTCTGGGCATTTACAGGACAGTGGAGGTATTTTGTGAACCTGCTCCTTCATCTTCATTCCTCTTCCATTTGCCTTATTTTGGCCTCTATCAAGTTGTGCCTGAACAATTGCAGTAGCCTTCCTACTGTGGTTTTGCTTAAGACAGAATCCAACAGCAGGACACTGGATGATGTTCCCTAGGGCACCTTTTGAGATCGGCCATCACTGATATCAAGAAAATCTGGCAGGGCCAGACACAGTGTCTCATGCTTGTAATTTATATATGTATAAAACAAGCATGTAATTATGTATATATTATATTATTTATTATAATATATATTATATAATTATATATTATATATAATAATATATACAATATAATATACATTATATGTTATATAATGTATAATTTTCATATATAGAATATATAATTTTTCATATATATGTGTGTATATATGTATGTGTGTGTATATATGAAAAATTAGCCTGCATAGTAGCACATGCCTGTAGTCTCAGCTATTCAGGAGGCTGAGGCAGGAGCCATGATCATGGCCCTGCACTCCAGCCTGGGTGACAGAAGGAAACCTTGTCTCCAAGAACAAACAAACAAAAAGAATACCTGGCACATTGCTCCTTTTGATTTACAAATGGTGCCTTCACCATTTCCCACCTATGTGCCAAAGGCTCCTTACACCTCATGGATGCCTTGGGACACAGCAGGTGGCAGTCCAGCCTTCCTGTCCCTGGAGGTGCTGCAGAAGAGTTCATTTGGAGAAAAGTTTCTCCAGCTAATAGAGTTTTAAAACAGTCTGAGGAATTAAGGATGGCATACAATTGGACTAAATGCCAGTTTTGGCTATTTAACATTCCTAAGGAGAAAAATGCATTTTTCCAACAAGTGTTTGTTAAGGTACACAACATCAGACCAAGGGTGCTAAAGGGCAGCAAAATAAGAAGATGCTGAGCCTGTCCTTGCAACATCTACTGGCCAACTGGATAAAGAAGATGTGTGGGATTCAACTGGAACAGGAAAGCAAGCTGTCCATCCTGGTCACATACATTAATGGGTTGCTGATGTGCACAGGCTCTGTACAAGGCACTGGGATACCAAGAAGACAATGATCCTACCCTCGGAGAACTCACTGTGATAGTGAAGACCTGTAAATTGAGCTGAAGAAAGATCAATAATGGCATGATCTCAGTGAGATTAAAGTGACCTTTCTTTAGAAAAATGAATCCTAAGCTGAGACCTGAAGAAGCTAACCAAGATGGAGGTCATTCCAGGCTTGGGGAACAAGGAATACATAAGTCTAGAGAATAATGCTCCGTGACTTTTCCTTTACTCACCTTTCCATATAAGCACGTGGGCAGGAAGCAAAGGGAGTTGCACAAGGGACAAGAGAGCAGTTTTCAAAGGAGTACAGGTCTACCCAAGGGAGAATGAAAGGGATAGATTTGGAACCAGATTTTGGAGGGACTTTAACGCAAGGCTAAGGAGTCAGGTGGGCAGTGGTCATCTTTGATAAGGAGAATGACATGGGATCAGCTGTATCTTGTATCTTTGGAAAATTAAAGCAGTGATGGGGTGGAGAATAGACTTTTCTCTTAAGTCAAAATCCAGCTAGAATTGTTCTTGACTATTTCCAATTAAATGTCCTCTTCAGGAACTCTTCTAAAGTGTTATTTCAAGGCAACTGCTTCTTGGGTTAATGCTAGTTCCATTAATCCTGACCCCACTGTCACCCAGAAACCCCGAGCCAGACCTCAGCCAATGCAAAGGCTCTTCCTATGTCAGGATGACCTTCTCTGTGGGCCTCTTTGTTTCTTACAGGTTTTGATGAAGAAGGAAGCCTGTATGTTCTTAAGGGTGATCGCACAATAGAGTTTGATGGCGAGTTTGCAGCTGATGTCTTGGTGGAGTTCCTCTTGGATGTAAGCATGTATACATGGTGACACTGCATGGAGCTGCCTCTGTTCAAATATAGGGAGAGGTAGAACCCCAAAGAACAGACAAGCTGGAGAACCTGGCCTCGTCTGTGACAGGTTTTTCAGGATTCACAAAAAAACTAAGGAGCACCTATATTGCACTCTACTGGGAAGCTGATCTTTAAGTCACCCTAGAAACTGTCGGGAGCAATGTAGTAATAATATGCTAATTCTCTTACCAGTTATACATAGACATCTATTGAAATCTCCTTGGCTTTGCTCCACTGCTGCTGAAGAGGAGCTGGGGAATGTGGAGAGAGAGGGGGCTAAGCAGCCACCTGAAGAGAGAGGAGGGATGGGAGTACCAATCAGCCAGGTCACCCTGAGTTAGCTACCCTCAGAGCAACATGGAGAAGTGGCAGAGCTAAAGAGACCCCCAATATCACACTCATTTTCAGCCATGGACATAGCACACCCTCATATCCATATGCTCAGACAAACAGAGGAACAAACATTCTAAAAATATTTCATCCATAGATAAACTCACACTTTCAGTAACCACTGTGAAGTTCAATGCTTTGAATACACATTCTTGCACAGATAAAGAACCTAGTGTTCAGCATCCATGCCGACAATTCCTTATCTACCAGCCAGTACCCAGTGGTCTATCACTCTTTCTCTACAGTGTCAAAAACCAGAGGGAAGGTCAGAAGTGGGTTGGAAGCTACTCTTACCAAAAAAGGTGCCATCTCATGACCCACCGTGCTTGGCCATCTCATTGACTCACACCCACAAGCCCTAAAAAAGTTGAGGGGGTGACAGAACAACTCTGGGACAGCATGGTTCTGCCCCAGCTTTATCAGCTAGGAGGAGGCTTTTGGAAATAAGACTCTAACTGCTTCAAACAATAAACAATGTGATTGACTTAACCTAAGTAGAAGGCTCCAGTTAGGGGAGACTTCAGACTTGATCAAATCCAGACACTGGCTCCATTTTTCTCTGTAAATCACAGATAAGTGTGTCTTCAGTATGTTGCCTGTGTCCTCAAGCTGACTATTCTCAAGTTAGCTATAAGAAGGCCAGCAGCAGGAACCAATACATCACATTTCCTCATTCATATTTCATGATAGAAAAACAAATTTGGCTTCCCATTGCCCTTTTAAGAGTAAAGAACTTCTCCCAAAGCCTTCAGCAAATCTGTTCTAATTGGGCCAGTTATTTGCCCATTCCTGAATCAATAACTGGCAAGGAAAGTTATGAAATTCACCTAAATGTCCACCAGCAGATGAATGGATAAAGAAAATGTGGTATGTGGCCGGGCGCAGTGGCTCATGCCTGTAATCCCAGCACTTTGGGAGGCCAAGGCGGGTGGATCACAAGGTCAGGAAATTGAGGCCATCCTGTCTAACACGGTGAAACCCCATCTCTACTAAAAATACAACAACAACAACAACAAATTAGCCAGGCATTGTGGTAGGCGCCTGTAGTGCCAGCTACTTGGGAGGCTGAGGAAGGAGAATGGTGTGAACCCAGAAGGCGGAGCTTGCAGTGAGCCTAGATCGCACCACTGCACTCCAGCCTGGGTGACAGAGCAAGACTCCGTCTCAAAAAAAAAAAAGAAAAAAGAAAAAAAGAAAGAAAAGAAAATGTGGTGTATATAAACACAAAGAAATACTATTCAGCTTTTTTTTTTAAAAAAAGAAAGAAATACCATTTGCAACTATACAGATGGAATTGGAGAACATTATGCTAAGTGAAATAAGCTAGGCACAGAAATACTAATACCACATGTTCTCACTTATTATATGTGGAATCTAGAACACAAGAACTCAAAGAAGCAGAGAGTAGTTACCAGAGGCTGGATGGGGGTGGGGAGTGGTGGGAATGGAGAAATGATGGTCAAAAGGTGCAAAGCCTCAATTAGATAGGAAGAATAAGATTTTCTTCTTTGACATACATTGTACAGCATGGTATATGTAGTGAAAAATATGTATTACACATTTCAAAATCACTAAAAGAGTAAATTTCAAATGTTCTCACCACAAAAAATGATGAGTATTTGAGGTGATGGATAAGTTAATTAGCTTGATTTAATTATTTCACATATTTATAGATCATCGCAACACTTTATATCCAATAAATACATACAATTATAATTTGTCAATCTACAATTAAAAATAAATGTTTTTTAAAACTGGCAAAAGGAATAGGTTGCCCCCACCAGTCATCTCACTCTTGGAGTTAAGGCCTGTTTCTCAGAAGGTACTGCTCGTATGCTCACTGCGGGACTGTGGGGAGAATGGAATAGATATTTGAGGCACCAACCACAAAGTCCACTACAACTTCCCTCCAATGCACTCTGTTTCCCCAGTGAAGAAGGAAATCTCTTGTTTGAACATGTGTGTGTGTGTGTGTGTGTGTGTGGCATTTCAGCTAATTGAAGACCCAGTGGAGATCATCAGCAGCAAACTGGAAGTCCAAGCCTTCGAACGCATTGAGGACCACATCAAACTCATTGGCTTTTTCAAGAGCGAGGACTCAGAATGTAAGTTGTCTGCCAACCCCAGCCTATGAGTCTAAAAGCTAGATTCCAAACAAGCTATGTCAGTTTACCCCAAAAGAGGATGGCTCTTCAGCATCTCTTTTGCTGGCAGAATGCAGGTTAGAATCCTTCCTGAGCCTAACACAGTGGAGTACATGTGCAAAAATTGTACAAAACAGTCAGGAAATCTGAAAGAATATTAAGGTGGGGACAGGTCGTCTGGTTTTAAAGCAGACTGAGTGTTCCACAGAAGAGAGGAAAACCCTTCTCCACTTTTCCTGCCTACCCACCTCCCAGTCGGATTTTCCCCTACAATGGGACAAGCAATGGGTGTCTCCCTGGCCTTGGCAGCTCCTATGGTCACCAGCTGGAGAGCTTTGCAGTCAATTGGAAAGCATGAGTGGAAAATTGGGATAGGAATGGGCTTAGCAGCAGCTACAGAATGTGAAAAATCACTGGCCAAGCCCACAGCTGACCACCAAGGCTGCCTGTCATAATGCAGACACACCCTTGGGCATATTCCCTTTGAAAGCTTTGTGACCAGGTTTTGGGTGGACACAGGACCTATGATAACATCACCACAGCCCGTATAGGGATGAGAGGGTGGTGGGGTGAGTCAGGAAGAGCAGGGAGAAGAGACCAGGAGGAGTAAGCACTTGAGTACTGTACCTATTTAAAAACTGCTTTTGCAGCGTGGCCCCAATGAGGTAGGCTTTTTTCTGGTATCTCAGCCTTGGAGAGAGGAAAAGCATTAGCGGGGGTGAGCATAACTCTGGTAGCATTCATACAAGTAGGAAGTGCAAATGTGGGCTGCTTATGACTATTCCTGGGAACCCCAAAATATTCTGAAATTGTTTGCAAACCCATTTCTTTAAACAGTCTGCCCACTAGCATCCTTAGTCACCTCATCAACAACCCTTTCATTTTCTGTCTCCCATGTCCCAACTTAACCCTCTTTTCATTTGCTTCATTAAAACCTGCATTTACTGTGCTTAAAATGAAAGTGCTAGAGGGAGGTGGCTAACCAGGGAGATTTGCCCCAGTTCTTCTTTAGGCAATTTTATTTTAGTTCATACATTTCCATATCAGTCCTGACTACTCTGGGGTGCTTCTCCTGCCCCTTCCTTTTCAGTTCCTCTGTCTCCATTTGTTTCCATCTTTATATTCCTCTATCCTCTTCATCCATGTAGCTCAGGATGGCAGATAAGAGGGAAGCAAAACCAAGGTTAGGATAAAGAGCACACCTTTCAGTACCCTTGGCGTCTTCCCCCACCTAGATGAGTCGTCATAATAACACTATTTAATTAACACATTTCATATGCCAGGGCCTATGCTAGGAGCTTATATGGATGCCTTAATTTCATTCTCACAACAAGCCTGTGAGGTGGTTATCATTATTATCTGCATGTTAATGATGATGAAAGGATGGAACAGAAAGATGTAATTAACTTGCCCATTATCACATGGCTAGTACAGTGTACAAAGTAATATGAAATATATTACATATTGCATTGTAAAAAAATTTCCAATTTTTTAAAAAAAATTTAAATGAGACTCTTATGCTTGCCTCAAGAATATAGCTTTTTTTTTTGAGACCTAGTTTTGCTTTGTTGCCCAGGCTGGAGTGCAGTGGCATGATCTTGGCTCACTGCAAACTCTGCCTCCCGGGTTCAAGTGATTCTCCTGCCTCAGCCTCCTGAGTAGCTGGGATTACAGGTGCCCACTACCATGCCTGGCTAATTTTAGTATTTTTAGTAGAGACGGGGTTTCACCATGTTGGCCAGGCTGGTTTCGAACTCCTGACCTCAGGTGATCCACCGGCCTCGGCCTCCCAAAGTGCTGGGATTACAGGCGTGAGCCGCCGCACCTGGTCCTGCTCTTTCTTTGACTGATGAGCATTCTTTTTTTGCCATTGGACATAATTCAGATAATTCCATCTCTAAAGTGTCCTTCAAGGGCACTTAGTTCAATCTGACAGCTATTGCTTTTCTTTTCATTGATAAACGTAATGTTCACATTTCTTATAATAATTTGAATGAATTTGAAAGGATTACAAATCCTAATTAAATTTTTATATCATCAATATTTCAAAATAATAATGAAACTTTTCCTTACGAATACACACATATTGCTCTACTGATCTTAATAATCATTCTTAAAAGTTAATAAAATTGCTAGTGAATAATTTTAACCGCTTTTTAAGGTTGAATTTTTTTTTTAATTTATAGACTTTGTTAGTACATTACATATTTCATGTAGTCCTTGTAATTTTCAATTAAGTACATTTAGGCAGGTGTTTAGCAAGGTCTAGCCTTTTTTGAAACCAATAATGATTCCTCAAAATATTTTCAAAGTAAGTATAATTCATAGCATATTTTAAAATCTACTTTTTAGCTGATGGACTCTTTGTAAAATTCTTGCCCAGTTAACCCACTTTAGGATGAAAGAGTGGGGAGAGGTCTCCTGAACCCATTTCTTCACCAAAAGCTATAAAGAGAAGGAGTTGTACAGGTTTGAATGTTATTAGAGTCCCTTTTTAAAAATAACAACCTTTTTGTGGAATGCAGATTCACAGGCAAACCTTTATATGATGACCTTTTTCTCTGAAGAAATATTATTTGAATCTCAAGATTTTCAGAAAGAACTTGATGTAAAGCCTTTGCACCTCCTTGTCATTGTAGCTGCACTATCAATACATGAACTTGGACATTCAAAATCTGACTTCAGAGTTTACACACTTAACTGTGTATTGAATTTATACACTACAACGTTTATACATTTAATTGTGTACACTTATCTTGCGCAGTGCTTTCAGAATCTATTTTGACATGTTTATCTACTTCTCTGAATGTTTCATCCCCACCAACTTGGTTTGGTTCTTCTTTGTAAGACCGATGATATTATTCCAAGCATTTCTGGTCAGCGTTTCTAACTGGTGCCATCAACCACACCCAGTTACCAAAATCTGTGACACTAATATCCAGTATGCACAACCCTGAGAGAGGGGGAAGAAAGGAGAGAAAATGCTAAGATAAGTTTGTAGTAAGCTGGAGGCTGGGAACTAAACGTTCAGGAGCCTATGCCAGAAGCCAAAAGAGTCATCAAAGAAAGTGGGAGGGGAGTCTGACTGGAAGGGACTAGGAACAGGTTGGTCAAGAGGCAGGGAAAGCCTAGACATGACCTGAGCTCCAACAGAATAGAAGACAAGAGGAGGCTTCTTGGAAAGCAACTGCTGTTTGGCTGAAGCTAAAGGTCAAGCCACATTTTGAATCATTCATCTAGAGGTCACCTTGCTTCGTTCTTTGTCTTAAAGTGATGTAGACCAACTCTCCAAGAGAGGAAGGGAGGCTCCTGACACAGGCCTAAGCCATTCTTTCCATCAGGGTGAGAGTACATGGAGGGGAGGAGAAATTCATCAGGGACATGGGGATTGGAAAAGAGGGGACAGAGGATTCTGATAGAGCCCATCGCTGCTTTAGACACAGATGGCCTAGGTGTTGCTTTAGCCATTCTACTTCCTTACCTTCACTCCACTCATTCTTCAAATGCTTTCAGCTGGCCAGGCGCGGTGGCTCACGCCTGTAATTTGGGAGGCCAAGCACTTTGGGAGGCCAAGATGGGTGGATCACGAGGTCAGGAGATCGAGACCATCCTGGCTAACACGGCGAAACCCCATCTCTACTGAAAAACACAAAAAATTAGCTGGGCATGGTGGCAGGCATCTGTAGTCCCAGCTACTCGGGAGGCTGAGGTAGGAGAATGGCGTGACTCCGGGAGGCAGAGCTTGCAGTGAGCCAAGACCATGCCACTGCCCTCCAGCCTGGGCGACAGAGGGAGACCCGCCTCAAAAAAGAAAAAAAATGCTCTCAGCCATCTTCTCCCCTCTACCCAATTCTCGACCCCAGCTATGAGGTTACAGGATATCTTTTCTGACTACCCACTTACTTTTATGAGGACAAGTTAGTGTGAGTGTGTATCAGTATGTGCAAATATTCTCATGACTTTCCAACCCCCCTCTCACCTGTGCTTGCGGCACTCACCTCTGTGGTAACAACTATCACGCTGCCTTTTGATTCTTTAAAGGATTCATAGCCCTCGCGAAGCTGAGAGATTTGGAAGATCAGTATCTTTGTCTTATTCATTTTGGGATCCTCTGAATTCACATTATTCTAGAAAAAATTTGATAGAATCTTAGTAAATTCTGCATTGTCTAACAGAGGCTTATACTTCTGATGGTTAAGGGAAATGGAATTCCATGAAATGGAAAGAAGTTAATCTTATTAAGAATAAATCACAGGCTCATTGACTCTTAGGCTTACAGCATTTATTCATCACCACCACCACCACCACCACCACCATTACCATCACCCTCACAACTAAGGCTTGAGTACAAATCTCTTTCCCAAGTGACTCCCCAGATGGACCAAGGTACAGCACTCCCACACTCACCTGATCTCATACTGTCTCAGCCAGTGTGGACTCAACCTTGGGACCATAGTCAATCAAGGGTTTAAGTTTGAGAAATCCTCTTGAGGCATCAGAATAAAGAAGAAAACTTTAAAATGAAAAAAAGGGGAAGAAAACTAGAATTCAGCAACAGGGGTACTTCCATTAAGAAGTTTAAAATACTTCTGTGATGTCATTTGTGATTGAGGTTACTTTACACAGTGAGATGAATTTCCTTCTTAGAGCTCATTTATTCATGCACTGTCTCTAGAGGGCATGATTATAAGTAGCAGTGAGTTAGAGTGAAAGGCCTTTTTATTTTGGTTTGGAGTTTTCCGTGTCTTCTTCTCTCTCTTGTCCTCCCGGTTCCCTCTGTTTCCTGCTTTCTACCTGCAGTTCATAAAAGTGTGGTGAAGGGGTCTTCTCTTGGGCGTTTGAATGCCAGCCAATGCCAACTCCTTGTGGGGAACTATGGGTTTAAATAATATTAAATACTACCTATCTAAATAATATCTACTAAATTATTATCCCATCAGGATTAATTGACTTTCTACTCTCTACATCATTTAAAAAGAAGATTCTTCAGTGTGCATCTTGAAAATGTCTCTCCCTTCATCTTTATTTTTCCCCTTAGACTACAAGGCTTTTGAAGAAGCAGCTGAACACTTCCAGCCTTACATCAAATTCTTTGCCACCTTTGACAAAGGGGTAAGTACCTACGAAACCCCAATGTGAACAGTTTTGTAGGCATGAAGAATTAAAGTTTGAACTTGCCACCACTCTTTCTTTTCTTGTAGCAACATTAACTATCCTCCCTTGCCTCTTTCTCTAGAAGGGTTAAGAATTATATCACTAAATCACTATTGGATTTAAGATGAGTACAAAGATGACTAATTCAGAGGATGTAAGAATATTTTTAAAAACATCCAAGGAAAAGTGATGGCCCACACTTATCTTCTCATACACTGAGATGGGAAATGTGTGGGCCCAGAGTGTACCAGCCCACTCAATCACTGCTTCCTTTTTCCTTAGCGGGTATCCTCTCCCTTCCTGGGGTTGCATACTTCCCCTTCTACTGGGTCAGGATGGGGAGTAGAATGGGAACTCCTCTGTGATGAGTTCAAGCAAGTGTTCTGTAAAATACAAGAGGAAGCCAGTGAGCTGGAGCAGGGAAGGGGCATGGTAGGATGAGACTGCGTTCAGTTCTTGTATATGATGAACCACTTCTGTGGACGTGGCCCTGTCTTCAAGTCTATGATCCAGAAGAGTGATCTATAATCCAAGTATTATAATCTAAACTTGAAGAATGTTTATCCTAATTAGTTGTATTACAGTTGGGAAGGATCTCGAGCAAGAATTTTTTAAAAACTATCATGTATTAAGTGTCTGTTATGGGCCAGTTGCTCACACCTGTAATCCCAACACTTTGGGAGGCTGAGGGGCATGGATTGCATGAGCCTTGGAGTTGGAGACCAGCCTGGGCAACATAGTGAGACCCCCATCTCTACAAAAAATACAAAAATTAGCTGGGTGTGGTGGCACACGCTTGTAGTTCCAACTACTTGGGAGGCTGAGCTGGGAGGATCACTTGAGCCCAAGAGGTTGAAGCTGCAGTGAGCTGTGATTATACCACTGCACTCCATCCTGGGCAATGGAGTGAGATCCTCTCTCAAAAAATAAGAATATAAAAAATAATAAATTCAAAAAAATTTTTATGTGCCAGAGTCTGTGCTAAGAAATCTCTTTGTGCCAGAGTGTGTGCTAAGAAGTTAACATGGATTTTCTTACTTCATCCTCTCAACACTCACATAAGGGAGGAATTAGTATCCTCATTCTACAGAGGATGAAACTGAGATGCTGAAAGATTAGGTGATTTTTTCATGGTCATGTAGTTACTGAGTTGAGAAGCTTGCTATAATCTCAGACTAGCCTGACTTCAAAGTCAGTGCTCTGTCCTACTTTACTCCAGAGAAAGAAGCAATATATGCAAACTGCGTGACTGGTGTTTGGCACACAGGAAGCATTCAGTAGTAGTTAGCCAGCTATGAGCACCATTGTTCATAAGAAGGCAGTCATCTAGGCCTAGGAAGTGGGAGGCTTGGATAGGATATTAGTAGAGAAAGGGAGGAACAGAGAAGCCGAAACTGAATCCATTACTGACATATGGTTCTGATGGAACATTTGGTTCTGATGGACTAGGTGTGGCTAAAGTGGCTCCTGTGTAAGAATCCAGCTGAAAGGAAGAGAGAGGCAGGCCAATTAATTTGGCCAAGCAACAAAGCCTTAGTTTTTAGAGGGGTGGTTCAATGTTGAGCTCAGCGTAGTATCTGTTTATAGAAGTGCCTCCTAGTGCAACTGTATAGCTTCTTGCCTGTGGCCCATGAAAAAGGTGAGGTCAGGCTATGATTAAAAATTCAGAGAGATGCTTTATTAAAACTCTGTAGGACACTGAGTCATAAGTTCCAGCGTTCACGTAGCCTTGTTGGATTTCAGAACATTTAAAAAGACAAAGGCACACAGAGCGGAGAGCACTGAGAGGACTCTGATGCCATTTGGTGCTTAAGAACTTGCACCCATCAGCTGGGGTGGAAAGGGTGTCCAAGGGGAGATGGTGGAGTTCAGAAGCCATGACTGCACCCCGTAGAGCCTCAGTGGTGTCCAGCAGGGAGTGCTAGGACAGAAGAGGGAAAAAGTAATAAATGTGAAGTGGCTGAAAGGACCTGTTTGTACAACACACCCTAGGGAATCTCAGAGAGACCGGGAGGTGCTTTGTTAAGGTCTGAAACCAGGAGAGTCAAGGGACAAGAAAGCACTAATGCAGTTACAAAAATGCAAAAAAACAACTGGCACTAGCAAAAGTGGATGTAACAAGAAGATCTGGCCATTGATGAGGTGATGAGAGAAGGCCTCAAAATAACTTAAGATAGCAAGTCTTGGCATCAAGACAGCAAAAATTATGAAGCTACTGAAAACATTAGGAAATCTAGGAAGAAGAATCTATTGAGGAACATGAGATGGGGTTATGAATTCTATCTTCTAAAAGTTGGGGAAACATTCAACTGGAAATGTCTTTAATTAATTCAGTCATTCATTCACTCAACAAGTATTTATTGAGTACCCTTTACGTGCCAGGCACTCTTCTCAGTGCCAGGGACACAACATTGAGCAAAGCAGATTCCTGCCCTTTAGAATTTAAAGTTTAGTGTGGGAAAGAGAAGATGGAAAGACAGAAAATTAAAAAGTAAACAAACCAATAAATACATCATGTGAGTTGCAGGACCGTAAAGAGGGTGAGATGTCATGGCTGCTGATGTAAATTTGGTGGTCAGTAGTTCCCAACCACTATCCATATTAGTATCCTCTGACAAGCTTTTAAAACCATTAGTCTCTGGGTCCCAGCCCTGGAAATTTTAATTTTTTAGGGTTGTGGCAGTGTCTGGGAATCTGCATTTTTGAAAGCCTCCCAAGGAATTATAAAGGGTGTTCAGGTTTGGGACCAGTACTGATCTATTGATACTAATCCTAAATTAAGCCACAGGAAGGCGCAACCTCTCTGAGGAAGCAGTTAGAGCAAGAAAGTGTCAGAGGGCCAAGGATGGTTCCACTCTGCTGTACCTCACAGCCTGAAAAATATCAGTTCTTATAATCCCACATCTCCTCCCACTGACCTGTTCCTTTCTCTGTCTGAGTGAACAATGAGACGAAAAATCACTTTCTTTTCAAAATCACACTGGAGCCAAAGGGAGTTGTGACTAAACAAAGTTAGTGGAGAAGATAGATGTTGGGAAGACCTAAATTTAGTAGTGGCAAAAACCATTACTTTTGGCAAAAACTGCGACTACTTTTGCACCAACCTAATACTTGAGTTGGTTTCATTGGCAACAACCAAACTGGCTTGCGAACTGGAGGAAAAATGACCTGTATCAAAATTCATACACATGCACATGTCAGAAAATCGGCATTGCACTTTGTAGTTTTCTTATCTTTGTTAAAATCTATTCCAACTAGTTAACAAATAAAAGCATGAAAGAATTCATTTTTATGGACCTATTTGGTTCTTAATAATATAATTCATTCTTATATAATGGTAATACCCATGAACCAGATCTCCTCCTGGAATAATGCCTTGGATTCAGTAGGCCCCACTAAATACTTACTGAATAAATGAATGAATGAAAGCTTCAACCAATCAAATCCCCTTCAGTCCTTACCATCCCAGACAGGAATAATAAGAATGAAAGAGGGGGTCAGGTGCGGTGACTCATGCCTGTAATCCCAGCACTTTGGGAAGCTGAGGGGGGAGGTGGATCACCTGAGGTCAGTAGTTCGAGATCAGCCTGGCCAACATGGCAAAACCCCATCTTTACTAAAAACACAAAAATTAGCCGGGTGTGGTGGCCTGTGCCTGTAATCCCAGCTACTCGGGAGGCTGAGTCAGGAGAATCGCTTGAATCCGGGAGGTGGAGGTTGCAGTGAGCCCGATACTGTGTCATTGCACTCCAGCCTGGGCAACAAGAGCAAAACTCCATCTCAAAAAAAAAAAAAAAAGAAAAAGAAAAAAAAAAAAAGAAAAAAGAAAAAAAAAAATGAAAGAGAGGAATTCTCTGAGATGCAAGATGAGGGCACTCCATGATGGTGGTAGGGAGACAGTGAAGAGATCCCTGGGAAATTTTACTCAGCATTTCCAAGACTTAAATTAAGGATGCGACAATCCAATTTTTACATTCATAGACAGCACTGTGGCCCCAGACACTGGCATTCAGGAACTGGAGACTACCACCACCACCCGGTGGGTTTGACTTCTGGCTCTGCTCCCTCCAGATATATGATCTTGACAAATTTCTTGCCCAAATTGTGCCTCAGGTTCATCATTTGTAAAATAAATATAATAATCATTCTTACACGTACAATCGAAGTGAGAATTAAACGAAGAATCAACCTAAAACACCTGGCAGCAGTGCCTGGCACACGATAAGCACTCCATATGTTTGTTATTACTGTTTTCATTCTGATCACTTCTCCTTTCATGGAAACAGTCTTCTGATTCCTAGGATATATAGTAAGCAAACTCAGAAAACCAGAATTCAATGTCATTTTCTAGCCTACTCTGGTTCCCTGCTTCATCACCCCCTCATCTATATCACCCGCCTACCCCTGAGAAGATGGAAAAGCACTTAGGAAAAACTCCACGTCTCCCTCTCTTAAAATTAACCTGACAACAAAAAAGAAAACATGGCCTGTTTCCTTTATCTCTGAGTAGGATGCTGGAATTTCTTTCCCTTAAGTACTATATAAAATGCCTTTCGGAATATAGTGACCTGGAATTAATAGCAATTGATGACAAAAACCATATGGATATCAGTGTTTCCTCAGAAGGGACCTCCTTGTGTAAGAGCTTATGCAATACCCAGCTCTTCCTCTTCCCCAGTTAGTTGCAGCCGGCCTGGGTCACGGCACCATGGGTTACCACTACAGAGCATCAGCTCTTAGGCAGTTCCTCTTCAGCTTCAAGAGAACCACTGTTCATCCCTGTGCTTTCTTGAACCACAGCTCTGAACTAGAAAAGAATGGCATTTGGTTTTCTATAGAGTGTTGCACATTCCAGGCCTCTCAAATAATTTCACAAACAGAGGTCCTGAGTTCAGCAGCTGTGCAGGCAAACAGCAACCATTCTGCCTTGACAACACACTGAACATGTGGTTGCTTTAATCCAGAGAGAAAATGTCTTCCAGGCTATGGGCTGGCTCTCCGAGCTCCTTATCTGTTGTAAGATGAGCAAATCATCCTGGCTTACTGGGATCTGTCCAAGTTTTAGTACTGAAAGTCCTGCATCCCAGGAAGCCCTTCCACCCAGAGCAAAGCAAGATGGTCAGTCACCTCATGACTGCTGAAAAACCGGGCAGCTCCCAAAGTCTGACAAACCACAAAGCAAGCTGGGTACTGAGAGATTTAACTGTAGGGCCAGCACTTCAACCTAAATAACAATTAGGGTTATGAGCAAATCAAGGACAGGCTAATGAGTTGGGTTCTGATTCTGAGTACCTATATGCCTTAAGGATCTCCATCAATTGCCTGTTTTATCAACATTGGTTCCATTAAAACCACACAACCCAGGATAATAAATATGTTCCATTGGCATTTGCTTCCCATCCAGCCCTGGCAAATGCAGTAGAGTGACGGTGATTGTAGAATTAAACTTCCCACTTCTCATCTCAACTGCTCCCGGCCCCGGCCTGACCCTCATTTGCTAGATAAGTCTTTTTCCTTCTTCTCTTTCCTTCTTTGATCACAAAAGAAGATTGGTCTAGCCAGGCCTTGGGTGATGAGTTCCTATCACTTCAACATTGAAGTTAAAACTGTACATTTGTTTTTATGTCTTTGCCAGAAAACATACACACTTAGATGGACAATACATTGCTATTCTAGACTAGCATCCAAATAAACTTTGTCTTATTTCTAATGGTTACAGGTTGCAAAGAAATTATCTTTGAAGACGAATGAGGTTGACTTCTATGAGCCATTTATGGATGAGCCCATTGCCATCCCCAACAAACCTTACACAGAAGAGGAGATTGTGGAGTTTGTGAAGGAACACCAAAGGTGCCTGAGATAGCATGCGGGGGCTGGGGTCCTGGGATCTGGGGAATGGAGAGGATCCTCTCTGTGCTACCATTTCAGACCTGCCAAGAGCAACAACCTAGTTAGTACCTCAGCAGTACAGAACTCAGTAGTATGGCTTTGTTGATCAGTGATGACTAGCACGGACATGATTACCTCTGAATGTAAGTCTACACCTGCAAGCAGGGTCTGATAAATCCCTCAGTCAGCACATCCCCTCAAAGCCAGGGCAAGATATAAATAAAATTCTGTACTAGAAATGATAGCAATTTAGTGAAAGTTCCTGTATACCAATAACCATGCCCAGTGTTTTAGGGAAACTATTTTATCTAATCTCCAACCTTACTGGGTAATTATTATTCCAATTTTACAGCAAGGAATTGGACTCAATAGTTAAGTAACTTAGCCAAGGATGAACACTCTGTGCATAGGACTTCTGGGAGAGGAATGCTTGATACCATTTAGTGTAGCTCTAGCATGAATCAGCAAATCTTTTCTGTAAAGAACAAAATGGTAAATCTTTCAGGTTCTGTGGGCCAGATGGCGTCTGTTGCAACTACTTAACTCTGCGGCTGTGGCATGAAAGCAGCCATGGATCATGTATAAACAAATGGGTGTGGCTGTGTCCCAGTCAAAGTTTATTTAGGAAAACAGGAGGCCCTGGCTGGATTTGTCCCACCAGCTGTAGTCTTCTGACCCCTGCTCTTGAGGGAGGGATGATATGGGAAAAAGGAACATGGTAGTGCGCTCACTGGCTTGTCCATCTATCCTACCTGACATGTGCACGTGTGTGTTCATTTTACCTGGAGTACTGTGATCCCTCTCACCTGGACAGTTCTAGTTCCTTCAGGAAGGCAGTACTTGGGGGAACAAATATTAATATGTCCAGCACTATTTGCCAATATTCAGATAGAAATGAAACTATGAGCAAAATATAGATCTGCTCTATATTTTGTCTGCTCCCCTAAATATCCCTAAAGGACTTTCAATGGATACCCCGGATGATAAAACAAAGGCAGTTTTAACCTACAAAATCCGAGATTTCCTGTTTTCCCCCTCAAGTGTCTCATTCCAGGCCTGCTGTGGGCTCTCCGGAGTGGTGGCTATCTGTGAGGTGGGAAATGGCACCTTGCCCTGGGAGTGAGCTGACCCTGTGCCCTCTGACCTATTGTTTGTAACAGACTTTATAATCCTTGGATCAGTGGGTCTATGAAAAGGCTGAGTGGCTTAGGCCCAGCTTGCTGTCTGACACAGCAGAGTAGAGCTGGTCTGTTTCCTTAGGAGATAAGTGTGTTTTTAGGACTCTCCATGCCTTAAAGGAACCAGCATCTCATTTTACATTTCACGATGCTGTGGCTGCTGTATCTGCCACAGTGACCCCTACTCAAGGAAGCTCCTTTTTTTTTTCCAGACCCACTCTACGTCGCCTGCGCCCAGAAGAAATGTTTGAAACATGGGTAAGAAAGAGGCAAATTCTCTTTGCCTTGTAGAGATGAGTATAGTCCCCAAGAGCAGTGCTTCTTAGATTAAGTCCCTAAACTCAAACCAAGCTTTATTTGGCTGAAGTGGATGTCTAGGTGAGTATTTGAAACATGGACAGTTTGGGTACGAGGGCTCATAACTGTAATCCCAGCACTTTGGGAGGTTGGGATAGGGGATCACTTGAGTTCAGGTGTCCAAGAGCAGCCTGGGCAACATAGCAAAACCCTATCTATCTCTACAAAATATACAAAAAGTAATCGAGCATGGTGGCATGTGCCTGGAGTTACAGCTACTTGGGAGGCTGAGGCAGGAGGATTGCTTGAGCCTGGGAGGTCAAGGCTGCAGTGAACTGTGATCGTGGCGCTACACTCCAGCCTGGGCAGCAGAGTGAGACACTGTTTTAAACAAAACAAAACAAGACAAAAACATGGACAACATCATGCTCAATTAAAACACAGTTCTTCATGGATCAATCTAAGCCTCTTTGGTACTACTCACTAGGCAAAATTGCTCTTAGTTCATTTTCCACAGTGACTATAGCTTCTGTTCATTGACCACCAGAGCCGCACAGTAACACAGTGGAAGGGACTCAGGCTACAAAGTCATAGAGACTTGGGTTCAGGTCCAGAATCTGCCACCTAGTAGCTTTGTGTCCTACATTAAGTCATGTGGCCTTTCTGAGCTGTCTAAATTTCCTTATTTAGAGTTGGGACTTTTTATAAGGATGAATGATATGAAGAGTTCAGAATATGGTACCTGTTTTTTTAAAAATATCAACCGAAGGCACTGGCAAGCAGCTGAGCCAACTTGTCCTCTAGGTCTGTGTCATGGATAATATGTCAGGCAGCTCAAATAGTGTTAGATGGAGGGCCTTGGAGATAAACCCCCAACCCACACCTCAGCTTTGTACAGAATTTCATAAATAACAAAGGCTGTGGAGCATTTTTCAAAGCGTTTCATGCATCCTTTTATTTGGATCTTCCAATAGCTCTAGAAAGTGATGTAGAAGAAGTATTATTAATTAGTTGGGCATAGGGAGCACACCTCTAGTCCCAGCTACTTGGAAAGTTGAGGTGGGAGGATTGTTTGAGCACAGGAGCTTGAGGCTTCAGTGGGCCATGATAATGCCACTGCACTCCAGCCTGGGCAACACAGCAAGACTCTGTCCCCCCAAACAAACAAAAACCAAGTACTATTTCAGCCCCATCTTACATAGTCAGAAACTGGTGCTCATACAGATTAATCACTAAAGGACACATAACTAATAACCATTAGTTCTTGGAACTTAAATACAGGCCATCTGGAGCCAAACCTGGTGTTCTCTGCAGAATGCCTCCCCAGAGTGACTACGTCCCCACAAGGGGCCATTTGGGGTGAGGGATGGGGAGGAGGAGAAAGGAATTAACACGGAAGTATTTATCTATTTAATTCTTTGAAGTGATGGATGAACAGAACCAGGGAGTAACTTGACATTGTTTTACTGGTCTGTAACTTACTTGGATGTTTGAAGGTAAAGGAAACATTTCACAAGATACCAAAGGGTAAATAATCCAATCCAGAGGAGTGGACTATTTAATAACAACTCAGCAGAATAGAAACAAACTTTCCTAACATTTAAACCTTTCAAAGATATTAAAACGGTCTAATCGCTAGGCATAGTGACTCATGCCTGTAATCTCAGCACTTTGGGAGGACAAAGTGGGCAGATCACTTGACGTCAGGAGTTCGAGACCAGCCTGGCCAACATGGTGAAACCCCATTCAAAAAAAAAAATACAAAAATTAACTGAGTATGGTGGCAGGCGCCTGTAGTGCCAGCTACTTGGGAGGCTGACGTAAGAGAATCACTTTCATCTGGGAGGCAGAGGTTGCAGTTAGCTGTGATTGCACCACTGCACTCCAGCCTGGGCAACAGAGTGAGAGCCTGTCTCAAAAAAAGAGTCTTATTAATATATTTTAAAATGGTAATAGCAAAAAGGTATAATAGTGCTTTTAAATAATATTTTTTTTTAAAAATTGTTTTTACTTTTTACCCTAAAATAATTTCAGATGTACAAAAGTAGTGCAAAGAACTTCATTATCTCTTCACCTAGATCTCCCAAATGTTAACATTTTACGATGCCTTCTATCTACACAGATACATAGATAGATAGATGATAGATAGATAGATAGACACAGAGAGAGAGAGAGAGAGAGAGAGAGAGAGAGAGAGGGTTATCAAAATCAGGAAATTAACACTGATATAATAAGTCTACTACCATTATTCAGATTGGCCAGTTGTCCCACCAATGTCCTTTACTGCAAAAGAAAAACGTCTCTGTTTCCTGGCCCAGGATCCAATCCAGGATCCCACACTTGCATTTGCCTGTGTTTCTTTTTCTTTTTCTTTTATTTATTTTTATTTTTATTTTTTTTGAGACAGATTCTCCCTCTGTCACCCAGGCTGGAGTACAGTGGCTCCATCTTGGCTCACTGCAGCCTCTGCCTCCCAGGTTCATGTGATTCTCCTCCCTCAGCCTCCCAAGTAGCTGGGATTACAGGTGCACGCCACCATGCCTGGCTAATTTTTGTGTTTTTAGTAGAGACAGGGTTTCACCATGTTGGTCAGGTTGGTCTTGAACTGCTGACTTCAGGAGATCCTCCCTCCTCGGCCTCCCAAAGTGCTGGGATTACAGGCATGAGCCACCACGCCTGGCCTGCTTATGCTTCTTTAGTCACCTTTAATTTGGAACAGGGTCTTGGTCTTTGTCTTTCATGACACAAAATACCACTTTAAATTGAGAGTCATTATTGATGTTCTCTTCTGCTATGGCTTTATCTTCAGTTTTTTTCTTTTTATTGTCTTTATTCCTAAGAGGCACATCTCCATTACCCAGGTTCTAGGAAGGGAGGGAATATAACACCGTGGACCCCTTCTCCCAGGTCTTTCCTTCCTGTCACAGCAGTATCACACCCAAGACCATGGTGTTTTGTAGATGGGGAGCCTCTGTCCTCACATATCCCACACTGCTGCAGAAATACTGTTGACACATAGAGGCAGATGTGCAGACAGGAAGTTCAGTGTCTGGTTTCATTGGAACTCATTCTCTCCTTTCTTTTCATTTAATGAATAAGATAAAATACAGCCTTTTGCAATAATATAAAATAATGGTGATGGCTCATATTTTCCACATTAGTGCATATTGAATTGTTCTCTACTTGGGGAAGGGCAGTGCATTGAATTTAACCAGGTAGAGAAAAGGGCAACTGAAATGGTTTATTCCTTCCCTCCCCATTCTGGAACAGCCTCATGACTCACCAGGAGCCCTAACCAGACCTAGTCAGCCCCTCATTCAAGTCTCCAACTAGAGAGGGAAGGCAGGACAGGCCCCTCCAGTGTTACCTTTGTTTCCTTGAAAGGGAGAAACAGAAATCAGTGCATCCAAAGGACCTCTGAGGAGCCACTTTCCATACCTCCTCCTCTACCTGTGTCCCCTGGCAGGTCACTGCTCTGAAGAGTGGCATCTCTGTGGGCCACATGGCCACAGCAACTTAAACCACAGATGTGGCTGTGGAAAGTGACCAGCTAGTGAACTTCAAAGTCTTTGTCTTTGGCCAGGCAACGTGGCTCATGTCTGTAGTCCCAGCACTTTGGGAGGCTGAGGTGGGCAGATCACTTGAGTCAAGGAATTCAAGACCAGCCTGGGCAACCTAGCAAAACTCCGTCTCTGCAAAAAATACAAAAATTAGCTGGGTGTGGTGGTGCGTGCCAATAGTCCCAGCTACTTGAGAGGCTGAGGCAGGAGGATCCCTTGAGCCTGGGAGGCAGAGGCTGCAGTGAGCCGAGATGTGCCATTGCACTCCAACCTGGGAAACAGAGTGAAACCCCGTTTCGAAAGAAAAAGAAAAGTCTTTATCTTCAACATCCACTTCCCCAGACGCTGAGAAGTATTTAAATAAGATGGGAAAGCCAGCTAGGACTAAAACAACTATTGATCTTTCTCTCTCTCTAATTGTGCAGGTTTTTAAGATGCAGGCCATAGAAAACACATCACATATGATTACTAAAGAAACTGGTGCCCGGTAATATTTGCTGTGTGTACCTTGGAAAACTATTTATTTATTTTAAATACTCAAAGAATGTCAAGCTGTCAAAAAGAGACCCGGTGCTGATATGTCATTCCCCTTGGAGACCTCACCCTCCATCTAGCCAAGTGGCCCGCTAGAGTCCTGGGGAACTGCCCACAGGGAAGGAGAGTCAGCAGTTTCTTCTAAAAGAAGCTTCCCTCTATTGCAACAGCAAAATACTTTCAAGATGGGGTCAGAGACCCCCAGACCAGCATCTAGGTCACTCCATTGCACCTTAAATAGGGAGCCTGCTTACTTTAACCGCATTTTTTCTTTGCATCTCTTCATTCAACATGAGAACAAACATTCAACAGAGACCAGAAAGAAACTGAGTAAAATATTAAGTGGTGATATATGCGGTTGGTAGGTAATTGATACGCATAGTTTCTTCTTGGTATACCTAATATTTTCTAATTTTCTTCAGTGAGTAAGGTTTTTATTGCCATACTCCTTTTTTGAGTCTATAGGCATTAAAAAGAACCTCTGTGCTAAGCAATGAGGTTATAAAAATGAACATTGCTGTCCTGTCCTTAGGAGCTCAGGTGTAGATGAAACAGTCTCAAGACATATAACGCCAACCCAGTATGCTCACTGCTGCCACAGAGGGGCATACAAAGTGCTGGGGGATCCAAAGGAAGGGATTCACTGAAGTTACTCCAAAATCTCCAGTTCTTTGGGAAATCTTGCACTCAGTTACCTTACATACAGGCCTCTTTCCAGCATCTTTCAACTTAAGAGCCATTGATCCAAGTTTGCAACATCTTCTGCAAACCCTGCAGGGGGCAATAAAACCCTGCAGGAGCCTGTTCTGCTGGTGGTGGTGAGAAAGAAAGAGTACAGGTTCTGTGGTCTGAATGCTTGTGTCCCCCCGCAAATTCATACATCGGAAGCATAGCCCCCAAGGTAAGGGTGTGAGGAGATGGGGCCTTTGGGAAGTGATTAGGTCTTGAGGGCTCAACCCTCATGTTGGGATTAGTGCCCTGATTAAAGAGGCTCCAGAGAGCTAGCTGGTCCCTTCCACTGTGAGGATACAGCATGAAGGCAGTGTTTCTGAGCCAGAAAGCAGGTCTCGCCGGACACCAAATCTGCCAGTGCCTTGACTTCCCAGCCTCCATAACAGTGAGAAATACATTTCTGTGGTTTATAAGCTATCCAGTTTTTGATATGTTGTTATAGCAGCTTGAATGGACCAAGATAGTGGGCTTTGGGGCCAGACAGAACTGGCTTGAATCCCTCTTCTGTCACTAGTAGTTCTGTGGCCTTAGGTAAGTCACTTTGATTCTTCAAGCATTCAATAAGACTAAGACTTTCTTATGAGATTTTGAGATGATGTTCTTACAAAGTAAGTATGGAAAAAATAGCAAATAGCAGATATTGTTGCCACTTTAATAATTGTTATTTTAAGGCATAATCCCTTCTTTCAGTGAGCTTGCCATCTAGTTGAGGAGGGAAGATTCATGCAATTAAAAACGGAATTTCCAAGACAATGTAACCTAAAGACCAAAAGAGAGATCTGAGTAGCAAAGGCTGTGGGATTCAGAGAGGCCCTGGGAGTTCCCAGCCCTGAAGTCAGCACAGCTCTTCCTCCCTGTGGAAGCTGGGTTCTCACTGAGTAACCCCGACTTGCCGGCTTGCCCTTGGGTTCCTACTCTGTGAGTTTATTACTTGAAAATGCCTGGCAGCTAGGGCTGGCCTGCTTCCTTGTAGATGTGGAATACAGGTCTGTGTGCTGAATCTTTGTGATGCACACAGAGGCAGGCTCTTTCCCTTAGTGACAGTGCTCCCTCCAGGGGCCATCTTGGGTCTGGGGAGTGACAGCCGTATTATGAGCAGCCTCCTAGAAAACAAATATGGATTCTTAATTCTAAAGCCAATTTCCAAATGCGTTCTAGCAGGGCACACAGAAATGAAGCCCGCTTCACAGAGTTAACAGCGCTCACTCCCATCTGATGGCAGGAGACAGAGACACAGGCTAGCCTAATGAGAACTGATTGGGATATTCTGTCTGGCGATAATAGCAAATGTAAAACAGTGAAACCTCGGACTCCCCTTCTGGTTGCTGTCGGATTTGTGTAATAAGCCAGCACACACAGGCACACACATGCGTATATCTGTAAAATTAAATTCCCGAGAGAATCTGACCAAGGCAATGCCCACTCTCTTGTTTTTAATAATAATATTTTCCATTTAATCTTTCTTAGAATTTGTGGAAGTTTTGTCCATTCCAAACTCAAAGGAAAAAAATTAGCATTTAGATAGGATTGCACCAGCATTAAAATCAATTGAAATGGAAACGGAGATCACGGGAAGGTTGAGATGCCTGGAGGTTTCTCCATAGGATGATTCTGATATGACATTCAGAGTGCCCAAAGCATACCTCTCCCCATGTCTCATCATCAGTATGCACTCAGCTTTGTCCCCAGGTGCCTCTTTCTCACACATATTCCTCTCCAAGTCTCCTGAGAATCACATTTGTGACAGCAGAGCCCCTTCCAAGCTCTTTCTCCAGAAATAATCATTGCAAAGGAGACACAAGGCATAGGGTCCTTGCTGTCCAGGGTGTAGAGACATGAAATGCCCCTCGTTTGCCCCATAGACTTAAAATACCCTCTTTAGGCTCTCCTTCCTGCCCCTGCCCCCACAGCTATACCCACTTTTCTTAGTCACACACCCTCAACTTTCCCTACACTCAAATTCCAGACAATCCCTGCAGCCTCAGAAGTGCGTTGGAGGCCTATACTGACTGGGCAAGGACTTCAAGGAAGTCACCTAGAGGTCACAGACAGCAAAGCGTCCCCTACACACTACATGGGTTCCGTAGGCAGGGACCTAACAGGGAAGCTCAACCGTTGTCTGTGATTCTTGTGTGAACAACACCAGCCCACATCCTAATTGACCTCAATGATTCCTGTCTGCCATCCATTTGGGGATAGTTTCAGGATCTGTCCACAGCATTCGGAAGCCTCCATAATCTGGTGCATCACTGACTCTATCTGCCAGTGGTAAATTCTTGAAACAGAGACTGACAACTGCTTTTACTGAGCCGCCTCTAGAGCCATTGTTGCCCTCGGATCTCCTCATAAACCAGACTCATGTTCTTTTTCATTTTGCCTTTTGTTGTTGCTCTCCCGGAACCACCAGACCACAGGAGTGAGGCTTATTTAGTGCTAATGTCTTGCGTGTGGTTGGTATTTCCCTGTCTTGCAAACTCATTTATCTGAGTCCCTGGTCCAAACCCTATGCATTCCTACCAGTTGCTCCTCAGCATTCCTTCCTTAATGTGAGCCCCACTGTACTCCTCTGTGCCTCTGTGTTCATCCCCACTTCCACACTTCTCCCTACCTCTCCTGTTTCCATTCCAGCTTCTGAGTCCCTGTCCCACGCTCAGTCCTTTGTATCCCTTCAGCTGGAAGTGTAACTTTTGATTCTTTTCTCATACAGGAAGATGATTTGAATGGGATCCATATTGTGGCCTTTGCAGAGAAGAGTGACCCAGGTAGGAAATTTTCAATCTGCTCTTTTACAACTTTAGCAAGAACCGATTTCTCACCTTTGTCAGCCCTCACCTTTCTCTTCTCTCACGTCCCATCCACAATGCAACTGCAAGATATTGGGTACCCCCTGGTGGCACCCATTAAGTATGAGTTTGTTTTCAGTTGTGCACATGGCTAAGAGAAGAAAAGGTGTGAACAAATCAGAATGTTATAGACTACCAGGTTCCTACACTGCTGCACAGCAATGGACCAATACACTGAGTCAGTGGGATTTGCAGCAGAGAAAGAGTTTAATAATCACAAGGTTGCCAGATGGGTAAGGGGAGGGATTCTCAAGCCACAAATCCAATTCTTCAAGGGGTTCTGGGCAAGGGTTTTTAAGAGGGTCATGGAAGGTGAGGGCCTGGAAAATTGGGGTCATCGATTGATCTGGGTAAGAGGATGAAATCATGAGGATGTGGAAACTGCATTCTTCCATAAGTCAGCTCCTTGCTCAGCCTTTTAGACCAGCTGATGTCAGTAGTTTTACTGGTATGCAGAACCTAAAAGAGAAACTCAAATGGAAATCTTATTGTATTAGTCAGTTCTCACATTGCTATAAAGAAATACCAGAGACAGGGTAATTTATAAAGAAAAGAGACTTCATTGGCTCACAGTTCTTCAGGGTGTACAGGAAACAGGGCAGTATCTGCTTCTGGGGAGGCTTCAGGGAGCTTTTACTCACGGCAGAAGGCAAAGCAGGAGCAGACGTCTCACATGGCAGGAGCAGGACCAAGGTGGTGGGGAGGTGCCACACACTTTTATATAACCATATCTTGTGAGAACTCACACCAAGTGGGGCATAGTGTTAAACCATAAGAAACCACCCCCATGATCCAATCATCTTCCACCAGGCCCCACCTCCAGTATTGGGGATTACATTTGAACAGGAGATTTGGGTGGGGAACACAGATCCAAACCATATCACTTTTAATCTCACCATGTCTTAAATTTTATCTATAGAACAGAGAAGGGACAAAGAGTCTTGTGACAAGGGCTACATTATCCTGGGGTAGTACACAGTGACCAGAAGTGGGCCAGAGGGCAAGCCAGCTTTACAATGGCTGCTGATGGTGTGGGAAGCCTAGTGGGATTTTATTTTTTTCTCCAACTGATTTTATAAAATGCTTTTGGAGATGCTTTCAAGAATCTCAAACATTCTGCTTTGCTGCCCAAACATAGAAAGGTACACTGGGCACTGGGGAGGATATTAAAACATGCCAGTTTACAGGGTGTGTGTGTGCTTGTGTGTGTGTGTGTGCATGTGTGAACTTCTGCTCACATTAAAAGTTTATTTACCAATTTTGCCATCGAGCCTATATCAACCACAATTCTACCTGAAAATAGGATAAATGTATACTTTGATCCATAAAATATTGTCTGTGCTTAGGAAATGAAGTAGGAAACATTCCCCTAAATAATGAGAACTGGGAAAAATGAGCAACTTATTTTAAAAGTGCAAGATGACCCTGTAAATGAATGGGTAACTTTGTTTTTGGAACTTGGACAACTTTTCTCTGGTTTCACTCTTTTCAACACCAGTGGAGAGTGAAGTGCAGGCAAATTAATTTTGCAGGTAGCAATTTCCTATGGCAGTACTCTGTGAGATAGAGAGTCCCCAAAAGAAAGTGGAAGCACAGATTCTGAAGTGCATTTTGGAAACCCTGAGACAACCCAGAATGCAGCCAAAGACAAGGGAATGTAGACTTTCATGGTACTTGCTGGGGACCTCAGTCTCTTATACACTCATAGGGAGAGATCTAGAGATGGTTCCACTGGACAGATCAGGAAACAGCCATTTGGAGAAGTTAAAAAAAAAAAAAAAAAACTGCCCAAGAGAACACAGTTAGTGGTAGATCATGAAGGGTGAACAGATTGCCTTGTTAATCAATATGTAGCTGATTCTTGCACAATGTCTTGACACATGGTAGGTGCTCAATAAATATTTGTCTGGCAGATGATTAGAGAGTTAGATGACCAAACAAGACCGAGCCCCAAACTCTTCACTGGCAGACCAGCTTTTCCTTCCCTTTTTTGGCAATACACTAATAGCCTCCATAGTTTCTTATAGAGTGAAACCCACATTTTTTATCATATAATTTGTAAAATCAAGATATAATCCATATACCGTAATAGTAACCCTTTTAAAGTGAAGATTTCGGTGGTTTTTAGTACATTCACAAAGTTATGCAAACATAATCAGTATCTAATTCTAGAATATTTTGAAAAACAGCCATTAGCAGTCACTCCCATTTCCCTCTCACCCACCTCTGCAGGCAGGAATTACTTATGATCTCTACAATTTGCCTATTCTGGACATTTCATATAAATGGAATCATTTACTATGTAGCCTTTTGTGTGTGACATCTTTCACTTAGCATGATGTTTTCAAGGTGTCCCAATGATATTGCACATGTCATTCCTTTTAAGGGCCGAATCATATTCCATTGTATCAAAACCAAATTTACGTTCTGAATTATCTGAGCACTCTCTTGGCTTTTTCATTTTTCAGCATGATCTAGCCCTTGTCTCCACCCCCTCAAAAAAAGCCAGTGTGGTTTCAGTGGGTTTTCCACAGATTCTGGCCACCACTCTGCCCTGGAGGAGCAAATAGCAAAGGAAGCCAATTGCCTAAGGTTTACAAGCTATAATCAAACAGAATTGGATCCCTGGTGTTATGTGAACAGAGATGCAGTTGCCATAGGCAGCAGCCTGCTGGCCAGACTCCAGAGGGCTCCTTCCCCACCTCACCTGCCCCCTTCCAGGATTGTGGGGCAGCCTGTCTGGCTCTTTGGAACAATAGAACAAAGAGGCCTCCCTGAAGTTGCAGGAACCTGTTTGACCGAGATTGCTGCTGTAATGAATCAAGCTCCAGAAACTACTTCCACCTCCTCCCTGCACAAATATCCCTGGGCCTGAAGCTGTGCCTTTCCCCAAAAGAGCCCAAGCTGGGGCTTGTACTGGGAAGCTGTAAGCAGGCACTAAGGTGAGGGGAGGGGGAGGGGTAGGAGCTCTAGAAGCATCTTCTGTAAGCGAGGGCCTTGCCACTCAGGGTTGGGAAAGGGAAAGAACTGTCTGTGAAAGTCCCTGACTCTGAATTTGTGGTTAATCAGTGATTTACCTGCAGAGCGCTGATGTGTAACCTGGGGCAATGGGCCTGACTGCAGGACTAGGAATTTCATTCCTGCACAACAGTCCCTCTGCATTCCTTTGCTCTTGCTAACAAGTTAGACACGGCCTTTCGCCCCAGCCAAGCACCTACCCCACCAACCCAAGGAAGAAGATCACACATTCAGGAAAATGATACAGTTCTTCTTAAAGAGCTAACATGATTGAGGAACTGTGCTAGGAGCTTTATGTAGACGACCTTATTTAGCACCTAAAGCCACTCTGTAATATGTGCCTGGTGATGATTATTCTGGTGTCAGATGAGGAACGTGAGTTTTAGAGGTTAAATAAGTTGCCCAAATCACTCACTGTACCTAAGCCAAGATTCAAATTCAAGCAGGCTGTCTTGACCTCTAAATACATCATGACTATGAGGGAGATGATGGTGATTGTCACTTACTGTGTACTTATATGTACACAAGAACCCCATGAGGAAGGCATTATTTTTATTACAACTGAGGAAGCTGAGGCTGAGAGAGCTTACCTCACTGGGAAGCATAAAGTTGGAATGACGCTGAGGACGTCTGGCTTCCCAGCCCACACCCTTTACCACAAGGCCCTGCCATAGAGTTATATGAAGTTGTCAGGGTAGCAACTCTGAGTGGCATGTAAGTCTGTAGCAGGGCCTGTGCTAAGTGATCATCTGGTCCTCCTTCCTGCCTCTCTATTGCCCTTCACCATCTTCTCCACCTCCAACGTTTGAAAGACAAGAAAACGGAGACCCAGGGTAATGCAATGGCATGTTTGAGATCACGGGGTTATAGGAATAGTGGAAAATCAAGCTTAGATTTCCCAAGGGCCCCTCCTGTGCACAGTCCACCCTATCACACCAACTCCAAACGATGCTCCAGCCAGTGCAGGCTCTGGGCATGTGCAGTGCTGCCTCATGTACTGGGGAAGGGGACACGAGCAGGCAGAGCAGGGGGAGGTGAGAAGAGCGCAAAACCACCTGGAAGCTTGAAAGCCTAGTCAGGGAATAAAAGTCCGGCTTCCTCCCACTGTCCAGGTTTGGGATCTAAGATTATACAGCAGCAACGACCACACGTCCCAGCGATCCAGCTGCCCCAACCACTTTCTTCTCCCAACAGTTCTGACATGACCCTCACGGCCAAGAACTTGAGTTCACCCCTTGTAGAAAGCTGAGGGCAGGCAGCAACCCTGTACTCTCACCCCCACCTGCCAGGAGGCAGGGTCTGCTCTCCTGGCCCTAGAGCCTAATCGCTGGATCTCTCCTGCTGTACTCATCCCGTGCCCTCAGGCAGGCCTGGCTGGGAAGGGCATTTCCTAGCCCTGCGCTCTTGCCCATTGCCTGGTGGTGCTGCCTGTCTTCCTCCAGCTCCTGCGCTCAAAGCGCCTGCCAGAGCCGCTCGTCTGACAGGTTTGAAAATGAACGACTCTCTTCCTCACCACTCCTAGATGTGTCTGTGTCAGGCTGACATCTTCTTTATAACATGTGATGAAAGGTTTGCAAAGCGGCATTTCTACATGAGTGCATGCTGGATGGATATCCTCAAAGGGCACTGGGAATATTAGCGCTAACAAGCTGGATATGCGAGGACAGGTTGCTGTCTGCGCATGTGGAACAGAATTAGTGACAGGCCCTGGAAGGAATGTCTCCAAGCTCTGTTCCATCTAAGCTTCCACTGCTTCAGGTTCCTGTAAAAATCTTTTTGAGACCATTGTCTCAAGTAGGACCACTAACTGCCTCTTTGAGCTTTTGATTTTAAATTTGGTTTATCAAATGTAACATTTGGTTTTCTTTCTTTCTTTTCTTTTCTTTCTTTCTTTCTTTCTT